TACATCAATCACAATCACTTTCATCACAAAACCTCACTATCACTCACTTCATAATCATGTTCCCAGAGAGAAATATGGTGACACCACATCCATCACATCATATATTCACTCTCATTTCCATAAAGCCTCACTATCTCATCACATCACACGCCTCATAATTATAGACCTAATTATGATGAAATATGGTGACACACAATCCATCACTACACCATCACATTTCAGCTCTCATCTCCATCACAACACTTCACTGTAATTCACCATAACAAAAGATCCCATGCGTATACCGAGGCCTTTGTTCATGGTGACAAATATGGTGACACTCGCATCATAACAACACCATCACAATGAAAACGAACTTTGCAATCCAGCCTCTTGCAGTGACCTTCGTTGCAAATCTTCACTGCATTGCGAAATATCTCTAGAAGAAATAGAATAAATAAAATAAAATAGTTCTTTCTGATAATTATCATTATTACATCATCATTAATCATTATTATATAATCAGTAATACTGACAACAAAAACATTAGCACAAAGGATTATAGTAATAAGACACACACACACACACACACACACACACACACACACACACACACACACACACACACACACACACACACACACACACACACAGAAAATAAAATAAAAATCATGCACTTCAAAGCACACATACACCATACGTAACTATATCACACGCAATTGCACATGCATTCAAAATTCACATTTCTCGATTTTTTTTTGGCAAATATGACGAGGAAAACAAACACTTATGTAACTTGAAAGTGTTTATATTATTCTAGGTTTGAAAGTGAGATGTTTATCTTGTGCGATCAGGTGCGTGTTTTCTGTGCGTGGGTGTGTTATGTTCTCTTGTGTGTGTGTGTGTGTTTGTGTTTGTGTTTGTGTTTGTGTTTGTGTTTGTGTTTGTGTTTGTGTTTGCGTTTGTGTTTGTGTTTGTGTTTGTGTGTGTGTGTGCTTCTGTGTTTGTATTTGCATATGTGTTTCTTTGTTCCTGTATCTTTCTTCCCTTCCCTTCCATCTCAAACGTGATCTCCGTGCATGTTTTTTCCGTACGAGAATTATGCACGTGCATGACTATACTCGCCCATGATTAGCTTTTTTTTTAAAGAACTATAAAAAAAAGGTCTATGCAAATGCACAGTTCATGGCATTTTTTCCTCCTTATCCTGTTCTCCACGCACGTGACTGCCCCCCCCCCCCCCCAACGTACGTCAGCGAAATGCCATCGTTACAACAAAGCACTTGGTTTAAATATCACCAGACAAAACACACGACTGGATCCGACACATTTCCACACTTGTATGTAGAGATAAAGAGACATTCACGGGTATTCATCCGTGGCCGCGTATGTGCTGGTCTTTCACTGTCTCCGTCTGGTCTTGGCTTTGTCTCTCTGTCTGCTTGTCTGTCTTTTGTCTAGCTGTCTGCGCGTGTCTGTCTCTCCTTCATTTCTTCCTTTTTCTTGTCCCTTCCCTTCTCTATATCCCTTTCCCTCTCCCTCTCCCTTTCCTTTTCCTTCTCCCTTTCCCTTCCTCTCTCCTTCTCCCTCTCCCTTTCCCTCTCCCTCTCTCATTCCCTCTCCCTCTTCATTTCCCTCTCCTTCTTTCCCCTCCTCCCTCTGCCTCTTCCTTTCCCTTCTTCCCTCAAACCTACCAACCAATCTATCAACCTATCCTCCTCCTCCCATTCCTCCTTCTTTTCCTTATTCATCCTTCTTTTCTTTCTCTCCCTCTTCTCATCTCAAAGTTACAGACTCCAACAAAGAATATAACTCTTAACGTCTTAAGAGAGTTGCAAAGAAGTTGCAATAAAGGCCTTTAATCTGTAGAAAAGCCTCACCTTATGTTGCACACTCAATGATGCAACTGGCGATTTTCTTTCTTTTTTTTTCTTTTTTTTTCCTTCAACTTAATGAAGAGGAGCTAATGTCGTAAATAAATAAAATATAAGGAAATGGGAAGAAATGGGGAAAAGAAAGAGGGTGGATAGACGAAGAGAGAGAGAAAGAGATGGTAAGAGAAGCGAAGAAAGAGACAGAGCGAAAGGACACAAAGGGACAACCAGATAATGGAAAAGAGTGATAGAGAGAGGAATGAAGGAAAAGGCAGAAAGAAAAGTGACGAAAGGAACGGAGAGAGAAAATATACAAAGGAAGAAAGAGAGTGAAAGAGAGATGAGAAGAAAACGATAGAAAAATATCCAGATATATAGGTAGACAGATAGAGAGATAGATAGTTACATACATAAATAGATACAAAGATATAGATGGATATAATTAGGTAGGTAGGTAGACAGACAGACAGAAAAATAAATAGACGGACGGACAAACAAATAGATATATAAATAGAAAGATAAAAAGATAGATAGATAGACATATAGATAAATAGACAGATAGAAACATAGAGTGAGGATAGGGAGAGGGAAAGAGAGAGAGGAGGGAAAGAGAGAGAGGAGGGAGAGAGAGAGAGAGAGAGAGAGAGAGAGAGAGAGAGAGAGAGAGAGAGAGAGAGAGAGAGAGAGAGAGAGAGAGAGAGAGAGAAGGTAGGAAAAGAAGGAGAGATGAGACGGTGCGAGGGGAGAGTTGAATAAGGGGACAAGCAATAGTGAGCTAATAAAGAAGGGAAGAAGAAATGGAAGAAAAAATGTATGTACATAAAAATGCAGGAGACGGCTAAAGCGAAACAGAGTAAGAGAGGGATAGAAGGAGAGAGAAGAAAAGGGATGGAGATAGATAGATATATAGATGAACAGACAGTGAGAAAGAGAGAGAGAGATGGATATATATATATATATATATATATATATATATATATATATAGAGAGAGAGAGAGAGAGAGAGAGAGAGAGAGAGAGAGAGAGAGAGAGAGAGAGAGGGAGGAGGGAGGGAGGGAGAGACCAACAGCAACCGCAACGAAATCACGAACAGCAAAGTAGAGAAAGGAAGAAGAGACAAGAGAAAAAGACACAAACAATAAAGAGAAAGAAATGAGAAGATACAAAAATTAGAAACAAGAAGGAACAAAAAGAAACAAGAGGAGAAACAAAGACGGGAAGAGTGACAGATAAAAATGTACGAGCGGGGTTGCAAAATTTACGAAGATGTGCAAAGCAAATGGAGGGGAAGAGAGGAATAGGAAGAAAGAGGAGGAGGAAAGATAAGAAAAGAAGAAGAAAAAAAAGCAGATGAAAGTGGTGAAAGTGGTGGTGGTGAGGAGAAAGAGGATGAGGATGGTGATGATGATGATGATGATGATGATGATGATGATGATGATGATGATGATGATGATGATGATGATGATGATGATGATGATGATGATGATGAAGGAAGGGAGGGGAGATTAAGAAATAACGAAAGAATAAAAGACAAAGAAACAAAGACAGACATACAAAGAGACGCACATACAAACAAAGGAAACATACAGACAGACAAATATGACAGATAGACAATATGACAGACAGCTACACGTCCAGAGAAGATGACACATCTCAAAAATATTAATCGGTTTTCTGATATTTTGTAGCCACAGTGGCGGCACTAATACCTCATACCGGCACTTTCTCACGTCCGCAGTTCTACTTACAACATACTTACATCAAAAACACATACCAATATATAGGTACTTACCATACAGAAGCGTCTGCCACAGCATAGAGCGCGGGGAGGGGGAGGGATCTCCGGAATGTATGGTGTTAAAATGACTTGCACAAATCACAGATCTTTCTCGATCTTTCCGTCTTGCAATGGTGAGTCATTCATTTACTCATGTTTGAAGAGGTCGCCCACTTACCCACCTTCCTCACTATTCGATTTCATTTCCTCTGGTTTGTGGGTAAAACACGGGGGATCTTTTTTTTTTTTTACTTAAAAACCGGCTGGTCCCAAATCTCCACAGATGGTTTATAAGTTGAAGCGAAAGGGACAAAATGACTTCTAGAAAGGATCATCTTCTATAATCTTTTTCCTTCTCTCTTGCTCTTTCTCTTTGTCTCTTTTTCAGTCGCTCTCTCTCTCTTTCGCTCTCTATTTCTCTTTCTCTTTCTCTTCCTTTCTCTCTCTCTCTTTTGATCTCTCTCCCTCTCTCTCTCTCTCTCTCTCTCTCTCTTTCGATCTCTCTCTCTTTCTCTTTCTCTTTCTCTTTCTCTTTCTCTTTCTCTTTCTCTTTCTCTTTCTCTTTCTCTTTCTCTTTCTCTTTCTCTTTCTCTTTCTCTTTCTCTCTCTCTTTCTCTTTCTCTTTCTCTTTCTCTTTCTCTCTCTCTCTCTCTCTCTCGCTCCCTCTCCTGCTTATATATTTCTTTCTCTTACTATATTTTCTTCGTTTTTTTCACTCGGGTAAATCGAAGTTTTCTGAAGCATTGTCACCGGTTATAATTATTTTTTCTTATTATTATGCTATTTTTCCAAGATAATCCGGCGCAGTGTCCAGCAGCATCCGAACTCTCGGTCGCCAACTTCGATTCGCAGAGGAGACGAAGACGAGGGCGACCGAGATAAGATAAGAGCATCAGCATCAGCATCAGCATCATCTCCAGGGCATCATCACCATCACTTCGTGTCTATGCACCACACTCAGGTAACACCAATGAAGGAGATACATGAGATAAATAAGTGAATAATCATCACATCACCACCACAGGGTCCACACACACACACACACCTGACCCGATCCCGCTGAGGGTCAGGCGAAAGCAGGTCATCTTTTTTTTTTTTTTTAACCAGGCAACACGATCTCCGAACAGGTCAGCTTTACGAAACACTTATCACACAGGGGAGAGACAAAAAAAAACAAACCATATTATATATATGCATCATAATCTCCCGGGGTCTCCCTTTCCGCCCGTGCTGAAGCGGAGAATAGCTAATCACAGCTCGTCCTTAGGCTATCACTCCCGCTCGAATCCCAAGAGCAAATCCAAACGAAAATCATTCAGAGATTATCAAAACAAAAGGAATGTAAACATATTGGCCACGTTTATAATAACCCCAGCTAAGAGTGCGGCACGTCAGCCAAGCGTCATCGAAAGCGCTCACACCCCTCACACCGGTCCAAAGCGACTGCCTCAACTTGGAGGGGAAACTTACAAAGAGCTCGGATGCGAGAGAGAGAGAGAGCGCCGCCCCGTCTGCGCATGTGCGGCCCGGCTCGGCGCGCCACGTTCGGATGGCTTTCCCCTCTCCTCCTCCTCCTCCTCATCTTCTTCCTACTCCTTTCTATCTTCCTCTTCCTACTCTTTCCGTCTCTTTTCATTCATTCCCATTCTCCTTCCCTCTTTCTCCTCATTTCCCTCCTCCTTTTTTTCCTATTTCTTCCCCTCCTCTTCCTCCTCCTCCTATAGCTCCTCCCACTCTTCCTCCTCCTCATCTTACTCTTCCTCCTACTCCATCCCCTCTTCCAACTCTTCCTCCTCCCCCTCTTTCTATTTCTTCTCCTCCTTCCCTTACTCCTCCTCTTCTTGCTCCTTCCCTCCTCCTACTCCTCCTACTCCTTCCCCTCATTCTCCTTCTCTTCCTTCTCCTTTTCCTCCTCTTCTTCATACTCTTTCTCCCCCTCTTCTTTCTATTCCTCCCCCTCCTTCTCCCACTCTTCCTCCTCTTCTTCTTCGTACTCCTTCCCCCTCCTCCTCCCCCTCCTCCTCCTCTACAGCTCCTCCCACTCTTCCTCCTACTCCTTCCCTTCTCCTCCTCTCACTCTTCCTCATCTTCCTCTTCTAACTCTCCCTCCTCCACCTCATCCTCCTCTTTCTTCTTTTTCCTTCTTCTTCTTCTTCTTCCTTCTTTTTCCTCCTCCTCACCCTCCCCTTATCCCTTCCTATCCTCTCATCTTCTTCCTCCTCCTCCTGTTCCTCCTCTTCTTCTTCTCCTCCTATTCCTCTTCTTCTTCCTCTTCTTCCTCCTCCTTTTCTTCCTCTTTTCTTCCTCCTCTTCCTCCCCGCCCTCTTCCTATTCCTTCCCCTCTTCTTCCTCCTTCTCAACTTCTCCTCTTCTTCCTCCTCCTCCTCTTCCTCTTCCTCTTCTTCTTCCTCCTCTTCCTTCCGGTCCTGCTTCATATCTTCTCCTTCTCCTTCTGCTTCTCCTTCTCCTCCTCCACCTCCACCACCTCCTCCTCCTCCTCCACCTCTTCCTCCTCCTCCACCTCTTCTTCCTCCTTTAACTCTTCCTCTTCCTCCTCCACCTCCACCTCCACCTCCACCTCCACCTCCTCCTCCACCTCCTCTTCCACCTCCTCTTCCACCTCCACCTCCTCCTCCACCTCCTCCACATCTTGCTCCTCCTCCACCTCCTCCTCCTCCTCCTCCTCCTCCAGCTCCTCCTCCACCCTCCCCTCCACCTCCTCCTCCTCCTCCTCCTCCTCCTCCTCCTCCTCCTCCACCTCCTCCTCCTCCTCCTCCACCTCCTCCTCCTCCTCCACCTCCTCCTCCTCCACCTCCTCCTCCACCTCCTCCACCTCCTCCTCCTCCTCCTCCTCCTCTTCCTCCACCTCTTCCTCCTCCTCCTCTTCCTCTTCATCCTTTCCCGTTAATTCCCCCAAGACTGACTGTCCTCTTGGCACCACCGCGAATTGCGCAAGTTTGCCCCAAGATGCAAGTCGCGTGAGGAATTCGAGGTGAGAAAACCTGGTCGATCAGCCCACTCGCGGGAGAACCTCTCTCTTTCTCGGTCTCTTTCTAGGTCTCTTTCTCTTTCTTGTTCTTGTTCTCTTTTTCTTTTTCGTTCTCTATGTCTTGTTATCGGTCTCTTTCTCTGTCTTTCTCTTTCTCGTTCTCTGTCTGTCTTGTTCTCGGTCTCTTTCTCTTCCTCTTTCTCGTTCTCTGTCTGTTTTGTTCTCGGTCTCTTTCTCTGTCTTTCTATTTCTCGTTCTCGTTCTCTGTCTGTGTTGTTCTCGGTCTCTTTCTCTTTCTTTCTCGTTCTCTGTCTGTGTTGTTCTCGGTCTCTTTCTCTTTCTCTTTCTCGTTCTCTGTCTGTCTTGTTCTCGTTCTCTTTCTCTTTCTCGTTCTCTGTCTTTCTTGTTCTCGGTCTCTTTCTCTTTCTTGTTTTCGTTCTCGTTTTCTCGTTTCGTCTTGATCTCGGTCTCTTTCTCTGTCTTGTTCTTTTTCACGTTCTCTGTCTGTCTTGTTCTCAGTCTCTTTCTCGTTCTCTTTCTCTTTTTCGTTCTCTTTTTCGTTCTCTGTCCATCTTGTTCTCGGTCTCTTTCTCTTTCTCGTTCTCTGTCTGTCTCGTTCTTGGTCTCTTTCTCTGCCTTGTTCTCGTTCTCGTTCTCTTTTATTTCTTTGTCTTTCTAGTTTACTTTTTTTCTCTTTCTGTCCCCCTAGGCCACCTTTCCTCCCTCCTTTTTTTGCTTCTTTGGTTTGCCTCTCTATTTTTCTGTCTGTCTGTCTGTCTGTCTGTCTGTCTGTCTGTCTGTCTGTCTGTCTGTCTCTCTTATTCTCTCCCTTCCTCCCTCCCTATCCTTCTCCCCATCCCTCTTCCTCTATCCCTTCCTTTCTTCCTTTCCTCCCTCCATCCCTCCTTCCTTCCTTCTCTCTCTCTCCCTCCCTCTCTCTCTCTCTCTCTCTCTCTCTCTCTCTCTCTCTCTCTCTCTCTCTCTCTCTCTCTCTCTCTCTCTCTCTCTCTCCTTCACACTTTTCATTTTCCTCTCCCTTTCCCGCTCTTCTCTCTCCTCCTTCCCTTCATTTTCGTCTCTCCTTCACATCTTCCTTCATCTTCCTCTCCTCCCTAGGCAACCAGAGCCACCTTTGCCTAATCCCCGTTCTCAATCCACCCCCACCTTTGCACCCCACCCCCCACTCCCCTATCCTCATCAACCCACCCACCCACCCACCCACCTACCCACCCAACCTCACTGCCTTCCACCCCACCTACTCACCCATCCACCTCCAACCACCATCCCTACCCCACTCTAACGCCCCCTACCCTCCTTACACCCCCACACCTTTCCCCCCCCCTACCCCCCTCTCTCCAGCCCCCCCCACACCCCCCACACCCCCACACACACACCAACCCGCCCATCCTCCCACGTGCTATTGCTTGGATCATCCTGTGTCTTGGGCGTGTTGGCGCAACGAGTAATGAGCATAGGATGAGCTGGGGAAGGGGGGGGGGGGGGAGGCGGGGAAGGGGGCTGTGGATGGTGGTGGGGAGGGGGAGGGGGGAGGGGGGGAGGCGGGGAAGGGGGCTGTGGATGGTTGTGGGGATGGGGGGGAGGGGAGGCAGGGGATGGGATGATGGAGGAGAGGAAAAGGGAAAGGAGAGGAAGAGTGGAAATGGAAAAGGAGAAGAGGAGAGGAAGAGGGAGGGAGAAGAGGAGGGGAAAGGGGAAAGAAAGGAGAAGTAGAAGAGGAGAGGGAAGCGAAAGAAAAAGAGTGAACAGAGACGGAGAGGAGAAAGGAAAAGAAAAAGAAGAAGTGGAAGAGGAGGAGGAGACAAAGAGTGAGGGAATGCGTGAGGGGAAAGGAGTAGAGAGGTAAAAGACAGGAAGACGAGGAGGAGAGCAGTAAAAGAAGAGAGAGAGAAGGGGAGAGGAAAGGGGAGGGAAGGGGTGGGGAACGCGAGGGGGCGCGAAGCGGGGGGGGAGGGGAGGGGGACGAGTTGCATGATCTGCATTCCCAGTAGATATTGCCGAGGAGGAGGATAGGGAAACAGAGAAGAAAAGAAGGAATAATATAAAATTTAAAGGAATAATAATAAAATCTAAGGAAATGGTAGAATAAAATAAATGATAGATTAGAATAAAACGAAGACGATAGGGAATAGCAAAAGGTAAGAATATTTTTCTAAAAATAAAAATAAAAGAAACAGAGAAACAGGGGCAGAATAAAGAAGAAAAGAGAGAGAGAGAAAAAAAAAGGACGATACTCGTGAATGGTGACGTGGAGGCGACCCCCCCCCCCCCCAGTCTTCCGCGCTACTCCGAGTGTGGAGTAAGGCAGAGTGCACAGAACCCCCCCCCCCTCCTCCTTCCATAGAACAGAGTTGGAGTGAAATGATGCATTCGTGACGGGAAGGGAGGGGGGGAGATGGGAGTAAAAGGGGGGGGGGAGCTGAGAAGTAGTGGGGGGAGTGGGGGGAGTGTGGGGAGTTGTAGGGAATTGAAAGGTGGTGTGGGAGTGGAGTAGAGTTGGGGGTAATGTTGGAGTAGGAGGGGAGTGGGTATTAAAAGAGGGAGGACAAGCCATGGGGGAGCCCGAGGGAGTAGAGGAGTGTGGGGATAGGTGGGGAGTGAGGGGGAGGGGGGGGGGAGAGAGAGAGAGACCAGGCTGCTCTCCAACCAGATTTGTTGCGTCATGTCCCCCCTGTCTGACGGCGCTCTTTGTCTCGCGCCGTCTCGCGGATTCTCTCTCTCTCTCTCTCTCTCTTTCTCTTTCTCTCTCTCTCTTTCTGTGTGTGTGTGTGTGTGTGTGTGTGTGTGTGTGTGTGTGTGTGTGTGTGTGTGTGTGTGTGTGTGTGTGTGTCCTCTCTCTCTCTCTTTCTCTTTCTCTTTCTCTCTCTCTCTCTCTCTCTCTCTCTCTCTCTCTCTCTCTCTCTCTCTCTCTCTGTGTGCGTGCGTGTGTGTGTGTGTGTGTGTGTGTGTGTGTGTGTGTGTGTGTGTGTGTGTGTGTGTGTGTGTGTGTGTGTGTGTGTGTGTGTGTGTGTGTGTGCGTGTGTCTGTGAACGTGTGTGTGTGTGCGTGTGTCTGTGAACGTGTGTGTGTACGGGAGTGTGTCTGCGAGTATCAAAGTGAGTAAGATCGTGTGTATGTATGCGAGCGTGTATTTATGTGAATCTATATGCATACATCTTAAACATTCGCTCGGTCTCCTGTTGTGTGTTCTCGTGAGTTTATGAGGATGTGCCCTTTATAGACATCTGCGCCCAATCAGAGTGTGTGAGCAGCCAACTCATAAACATGTGAGTGAAATACGTGTGTGCTGTTTATTTGGTCGTATTTAACCTTGCTACAGTAACAGTTCCGCTTTCATGCAACGGCAAAGTCATATCAAGCAGCCAATATCTGCATGATGCAACTTCTCCCTACCCCCTTCTCCCCCTCTTCTTACTCTCTCGCTTA